CTGAAAAATTAGTCCATGTGTGATCTCCTGATCTATTGAGGAAAACTTTTATATAGCACTGAAATGAACGTCATTTTTCCTTTCATCTGAACAATGGATCATATTTTACGATTTCATTTAAAAATACACTGTTTCCAAGTTTATACTGCTTTATTTTCAATTCGTATGTGCTTGTGGTGAAAAACATACACATCTGCGAATGGCTTGGAACGTCCGAAGATCCCTATGCTGTGATGTTTTTATGGGTTTCTATCCGTTTCGAGCAATGCTACGTTGTAACCGCAAAGGATTTTATTGATTCTCAAAAGAATCGTCTTCTGGCAACGTTTTTCTCCCAGGTAATCACTCCACAGGAAGTGAAATAGAACACAACCGGAAGCCTGTCGGAATTTGTTTGTAATGCGAAAATCGTGGTTGTTTATAGGGAAGAGATAGGATATGGGAATTCATATATTTAACGGTTCGTTGTCTGGATTGTTGTCAACCCTGTTGATTGGTTGGCAGTTCAGACTAATCATCTGAGTTCGTTTATCCTCGTTCAGAACAAAGCCGTTTTCAGAGAACATGCTCTTCATGACATATTAATCTACGTTAGATGCTGTAAACAGCTCGCGAAGCATTCAGGTCGAGAATTTACAGCAATTGTATGTGTTCACGTAGTAAGGGTGTGTTCCCACCCTTCCGTGTTTTCATCCCATCATCAAATCTTGATATTTCACTCACTTATATCGTTTGTCGTGACACAAACATCAATTGTTCTCTATATCTCCCAAACACTTGCACGGCGGTTTGCGGCACCTTTCACATGATGCTTTTAACGAACTACTCCCGTCGTTTAGCAGTTGATGTTTTGTCATCGGTGGTGGTATGGCTGCCAGAAATGAGATAGTTAATCGTGGTTTGCATGTATGCAAAAGACAAATCCAACTTAAACTGTCTGATTTTGACGGATGTGCCAAGTTTGCGAACAAAGGTGTCTATCCATTGATAAGACCACATCGTGGAAAGTTATTGTGTGACTTGATTGTCACTTAGCGACTCATTTAAGATGAACGAATTGTTCACGGAAGAGCCCATTATAATAGTATGACTGAGATTGATGAATACCAGTGCCAGGATGAAACTGATTTGGAATGAGCGCGTAAAACCTCACCTTGATAGTGAGAAACGTTCAGGTCAGTTTGTTCAGCCTTCAGCCTCCATGCCCGGATATTCTCTTTCGAGTATTCATTTGGTTAACCACTTAAATACAAAGCTGAAAGTGTTTTCAACAAACTGATCATACCGCGGTAAAATGAATGTACGTGGAGATTGAATAAATACTCGTGAGTCACTCGCACTCAGCCACATCACTCATTGTTTGTAAATATCTATTAGGCTAGCTTTGGCATTTCAAACGAGAAAGCTTACCATGGCCTATATGACCTTATCCACTAATCAAATCCGTCAACTCGCATACCGAAGGCTCGATTGGCATTTGCCGACTTGAGACATCTGTGGCGCCGTCGCGACATCCGGCTGTCTGTGAAGGGTCGGGGNGATTCAGGAAGGTTATAAGCTTTCCTGGATAGTTTGAGTGCTAGTGTAACCGTGTTTGGTATGTGTTTTGCATCTTCGAAGTGTAAAATGTTGCTGCAAGACTGGGTTGGTCCAGCACCCAGCCTCACTCTAACTGGGACAGTAATAGAGCAGGTGGATAAGTTTTATTATTTGGGTAGCTACATTTCACCCGTTGGACGCGTCGCGGATGAAGTGTCAGCGCACATACAGAAGGCTCGGTTGGCATTTGCCGACTTGAGACATCTGTGGCGCCGTCGCGACATCCGGCTGTCTGTGAAGGGTCGGGTGAATGCCGCAACAGTTCGGCCAGTTTTGCTACACAGCGCAGAAACTTGGCCATTACGGCGGTAGGATAAAGATAGACTGTCGGTGTTCGAACAACGCTGTCTACGCATCATTGCACGAATCTGGTGGGGCAGCCAAGCGAGCAATGCTGAGATTAGGCGCCGAGTTTTAGGTAAATGCGGTCGTCTACTAACGCAAGTAGTTGACCTTCATAGATTATGTTGGTTGGGACATGTGTTACGCATATCACCAGATGAGTTGCCACGGCGAACGATGTTAGCCGATGCAGGTAGGGGATGGTCCAGCTAGGACCTGGTATGAGTGTATGCAAACCCTAACCAGGAGTCTGGGTCACGTAGGTCCTGTTAGGCTCCCTGGATGGGGACTTTGGGATGATCGTACCCGATGGTTAGAGACAGTGAGTGATATGGCTGGATGTCGTAAACTGTGGCGTTCGTACATCTTCTCCATTTCTTTGCAACATTAGTCCACTGAAGTTGTCCATTGTCTCTTCGACTTTGCTTTCAACTTTCCTGTATTTCTACAGTCAGCCAAATGTCGCGAAGGTACCATAGGGGTCATATAGTGGTTAAAGCTAGATGGGCGCACCTCGAATAGGCGGAATGATGCTTGTTCCGACACTCGTTCCCAGGAGGGATGTAGCTCACCAAGCAGCTGATTAGTTCAAGTTATTCTATTGTCTCTCCGGGTAGTGTGATACTGGAAATAAGATCAATCCAATAACCATTTTAAACATTTCAATAAAGCACCCATACATAACCGAACTGCGGTCACTATTTTTATGCGCGGTCACTCGATTCGGCACTCACCACTTTGTATTCATAATCTCTAACCCAATAGAAGAAACTTTCGACAATTTAATGATGATGATCAAGAGCCGCTTGGCGGAATGTCAAGAGGATTTGTCTCAATCTCTTGAGTGAACCCCGATAAAAAACCACCGATATAAACTTTTCGGGGTTGCTTGCCATACGACATTTCGGATTATTTCTCCGTTCAGTTGTTCTTCTTGTGATTGTCGTGATTCATTGAAAACACTCTCGCGAAGCAAGTCGCCTTGCAATGCTTTCTGATGACAAAAGCTTTTGAAAGAACTTGGAATATGCCGGTTTTGTTTCCAGTGTTTCAAAATATGGCCAAATGTACCATGCATTTGCTCGAAATGAAAAGATGTTCTATGTAGGTCTAGTCATTCGACTGATATGGGTAATTGCAGACAACCAACTACGAAACAAGATCAGTTTGAATTTAGTCCACGAAATCGCCGACTACTTCGCCGTGAACACTCATAGTAACGATACATTATGTCAATAGTCCCGTAGCTGAACTTTGCTCCTATTCCCGGCACGAACATTCACACGGAGGTGTGCACTCAGTTGAGGTTTATTTTTCTCTGTGATATTTGCCATCTTTGTACGCCTGCGTGTATTTTCGGGATTGTTTCTCACCGTCGGTTATTTGGCCATTTTCGAAACACCCATTCTGATTGGATGAGGCACAGCGAGGCTTTTGGGACGTGTCCTTGTGTTGACCGGTAACAAACCATGACCCAAGCCTAAAATCAGCACGTACCGATCAACGAAATGGATCTGTCACAGAACGCCTAACTTATTATATTTTACCTACTGAACAAGATCGAAGGCAAAAATTGAATGGCGGATAAATTCAGTCCCATGAAAGCGGAAGGCAGTGCAATACCACAGTATTTTTGATTCCCAAAATTAAGCAAACCGGTTATCCTTTTGCTACCAATCACTGCAACAGAATTTGCAAAATCAAGAAATTACTTGATCTGAGGGTTACAACGTTCTACTAATCCGTCGTAGGAATTTCTGGAAAAGGTCAAACAAACCGAGCTATGGGACGATTAAATCATATCTTTGTTTAACGTCACTGGTCTTTTCAACTCGATAGACCTCAAAGTGGCCAAACAAACAATTAAAGCTCTGATTGGTATCGATAAGACAACCCAGCCACGAGCCGGATTGAACGAGAAACTCTCCTAAAACTTTCACAATTTGTATGTTAACATGTTCACAATTTAACGAACGGCTATGCTAACGAGGTATCTGTTGTAACCCACGGATAGCGGTCACAGCCGGACGATGTAGGACCACGGACCAACGAGCCCGAGTTAGGATGGTTCCACACAGTGGCAAACCTGGAACGACCCAGAGGTCAAACGAGAACTGCACCCTAAGCTCCGACGGAGCAGCAGAAGCACGAAGGAAGGACGACAACCTTCGGCTACGAATATGTATTTG